GGTTTCAGGACGAAGGGCAGGTCGTTCTGGATGGAACACATCACTCTTCCATTGTCTCCAGAGTCTAGATCAGAAACGCTGAAAACAGCCACCACAGTCTGTCCTGAGTTCTCCGGGATAGGACTGTTAACTGAAGACAAACTCAGTTCTGGTGGGTTGTCATTCACATCAACCACCTGAACTATGACTGTAGATTTTCCTGAAAGGCCTCCTCCATCTTTGGCTTCAATATCAATTTCATAACTATTAATCTCTTCAAAATTCAAATATTTGACTAGGTGCATGGCACCAGTAATGGGATTGAGATGGAAAGTTTTGAGAATTTCTTCAGAAGGATGAAAAAAGGCATAAGATACTGTCCCAAAAGTTCCTGCATCTAAATCCGAAGCAGAGACAGTGACAATGACGGAGTTAATGGGGCTGTTCTCAAGGATTTGAACCTCATAGAGCGTCTGCTCAAATTCTGGAGCATTGTCATTTATGTCTAAGACCAGGATGTTGATCTGGGCGGTCCCAGAGCGTGGTGGAGAGCCGCCATCCAGCGCTGTGAGTGTTAAACTGAGCTCAGGCTGCTGCTCCCGATCCAGCGCTTTGTCCAGCACTAGTTCTGGGTACTTCCTTCCGTCCCTGCGACTGCGTGTGACTATGTGGAAATAAGAATTAGGAGCGAGTGTGTAGTTTTGGAGACTGTTTCTTCCCACGTCCACATCCTCAGCATTTCCCAAAGGAATTATTGTTCCTGGTGGAGTGCTTTCTAGGATTTTCAGCTGCATTTCATTTTCAAAGAATACTGGTGGGTGGTCATTTACATCCATGACCTGGAGTTCATTTTTGACAAACTGCAAAGGATCTTGCAGTATTATCTGAAAATGCAGTATACATGGTTCTGTGGGGCCGCATAGCTCCTCTCGGTCCAATTTCTCATTCAGTATCAAATCACCTGTCTCATGATTGAGCTGAAAATACTGTTTGTTCCCTTTGGACACAACTTGTGCACCTCTCTCAGTTAGTTCTCCTACCTTCAGCCCCAGATCTTTTAGCAGATTCGCTATTAAAAAGCCCTTCTCCTTTTCCTCATCCACATAATACCGTCTGGACTCCGACCCAGCCAGAGACCCACCCAGAAAAACAAAGAGAAGCAGAACTTGCCTTTGTCTAGGAAAGCGCTTTCCTCTGGACTCCATTGGTCTTCCTGCCCTGTTATTTCAAGGAATATCACCAAGCTGAGCCTCAGACCGCGCTGGAAAACACAGTCCGGTTCCCTCTTCCACCCCAATCTTTGCAGGCGTCTAAGGAGCTATTTTTTCCAGGGTCTCAGATGTGCTTAAAGTCAACCTGGGCTCACAGTCCCTAGTTCGCTGCTCTGGATCGGTGCGTCACAGAGGACGTACAGCGCCTGAGGTTTAATTCGCCTTCTTAGTCAATAGCGCCACCATGCGTTGGTTCGCAGTTCCATAATCTTGTAGCAAGTGTTTCTGTTTTTTATTTTATTATATTGATATATTTTCCTTATCTTTCCAGTGGACGCTACTAGAGGGCTATTTTGTATAAAATAGTTAAATAAGTACTACGTAGGCAAGTTAAATTCTTATCTAAAAGAAATGGTTGTCCTTTAGAGTTTTATTTACATGATTTTTCAGAAGTATACACATGCTAGGCTACTAACTCCAGGTGTAATTATTACACATACATTTTAAAAGGTTTTGCTCTAAATGATAACATGTTTTACTATCCAATTTTAAATTTATCTTCAAAATTATGAAAAATGCATGATTTGCATTTATAGTATGAAAAATATGCAAAGGCAACCTCATACATGGAGGCAAGTAATATAATACATTGTATAAGAAGGTAGATCCAAAGGGATCTACTTCCTTACATCTTTTCACACTAAAAGAATACCTAGAGTGCTTTCTCCTCTTATTTCATCCTGCGTTTACAATGATTACTTTCATCTGTATTAACTTGGTTCCCAAGATAATTATTTAGTTTGGGCAAGTTAGGCATGTAGTGGTAACACATAGATAATGTGTATACATCTCAGCCGTTTTCTACCCTATGGGGTGTACAGACTTTAAACAGATGCTCAAACTGTGAAAAGTGCTATATAGGAAACCTACTGCAATCGGGGGACCTCACTTAGTCGAGGAGGTAAGAAGCTTCCACAGAGATGTGCCTGGAACACGAAGGATGAGAAGCAGTTCACCAGGCTTAGATTGTAGCATATGTGAAGGCCCCGGGAGAGTAAATCACAGCATTCTAGATAATGAAGGAAGTAGGGTATACATAGAGCTTAGTGTCTCAAGGATAAGTGGGAAGAGAACACTGTGACTGTATTTTATTGTAAGGAGGAGAAGTCATTGTAAGGTTACGGGCAGAGAAATGAAGCAATGCAAGTTTCGCGTGTTCACGCTAGTGTCTTTTATATTTCTATGCAATTATCAGGAATGTTAAATGTTGACTTGTCTATTTTTACTCTTTTTAAAAGAAGAATTATCTTTACCTACCTTTATTAATAATTACTATTAGTGTTGTTTTTATTTTGACTAGAGAGATACAGAGAGAGAACCAGGACTCAATCTGTGGTCAACCATGTGGGAGACAAGCACCTTATGCCACATACCACCTGCTGGCCCCCAAGATTACTCTTAATATTAGTGATCTTGGATGTACAATGAATTTTATAAATTTTTATTACTAAATTAACTGGTTACCATTTCAAAAATCATGCAACTTATTCAAGATTCTACAAGTAATAAGATGATTGATCAGACTTATTTATTTATAATTATATTATTTTTAAGCTTTCCTTATAGGGCACTTTCTTTGCAAAGCAAAGAGAGAGGGAAAATGAGAAATTGCCCCCAAGGAGAGATGACCATTCCACAATCCCTTCTCCTCCATTTTCCTCTTGGGATTCTGGTCAGGCAAGCACACCTGGTCCAACATGTTTTACAAACCATCAGGTAAGGCACTCGAGCCATGCAGTCAGCCAGTGGGATCCAGGCCCCTTAACTACCACACCATCTGCAGGGAATGTTTGATCAGAATTTTGCCACCAAAATAGTGCTCTGCCTCACTGCAAATCTCAAAATGAGGCCTTTAAGATTTCTATGATAATTTTTATGTTTCACTCAAATATACATAAAATGATATAAAATTTAAAGACAGGTGAAACAGAATTATTTTTTAATGTATGGATTAGAAATAAGATTTCTATGATAATTTTTATGTTTCACTCAAATATACATAAAATGATATAAAATTTAAAGACAGGTGAAACAGAATTATTTTTTAATGTATGGATCAGAAATTAAACTGCAAGAAGTGAAAAAAGTTGGATAAATCTTTTAGGGACTATTACAAAATTAAATTTTAAAATTGGAACCACAATTTTCAATCTGAATTCCTTAAGCCAGAAGACAGGAAAGGAGACTTATATTAAGCAAGAAGAAAAAAAAAAAAAAAAAAGAGGAAAAATATATTGAAGAAAGAGACATCAGGTACTGGTAACTTCATGTCTGAGTAATAGTGACCAGCTTTATTAACAACAAAAATTTATATTATTCATTGTACACTAGGGAGTATTTTATTCCAGGAAACTTTTGTCCTTTAACTATCTTAGTCTATTTTTTTTAATATTTTTAATTTTATTTACTCATTTACTTATTTTATTTTGACCAGAGAGACACACAGAGAGAGAGAGAGAGAGAAAGTGAGAAAGCAAGCCACCAGGTCCAGGACTTGAACCATGGTTTGCCATATGGGAATGTCCAGCGCCTCAACCACCACACCACCTGCTGGTCCCCGTACTATCTTAGTCTATTTACAAATCAGTATATCACAAAGGAAATACTATTCTTTCACTCATTCAAAATTTTTATTAAGAAACTACAATATTCCAGTAACTGCTAATTATGCAAAAAAAAGGAAGGATTTTTAAGAAACATATTTCAAGGGGGCCAGCAGGAGCATGGTAGTTGAGACACTGGACTCCCACATAGCCAACTGCAGTTCGAGTCCCAAACCTGGTGGCTTGCTCTCTCTCTCTCATGTCCTATAGTGAAATTTAAAATTATAAATAATACTAGTAAAATAGAGGTCAGCAGGTGGCATGGTAGTTAAGAGAGCTGGACTCCCACGTGGCTAGCCATGTTTCTAGTCCTGGACCTGGAGGCTTGCTTTCTCACTTTCCTTCTCTTTCTCACTCTGTCCCTCTCTGGTCAAATTTTAAACTAAAAAGTAAATAAATAAATAAATAAAATAATTCTTAAAAAATTATTTTAAAAAGTTTGTTAAAAAGGAAACATAATTCAAGAGCCTTTAAAAAAAAAACATTCAAAATTCTTTTTTTTTTTTTTTTGAGAGGTTTTGCTAACGGGCACTTTTG